CTATGTAAATCACACGGCGTTCCTGTTGCTTATGAATCATACTTCAGGTTCTGGGCCTTCGACTCAAAGTGTTCGGTTCACTATCAACTTCGACAATTTTGGCACAGATGGCTATAGCTTTTTGAGCTGCTAGAGATATAATCTGATTACCGCGACATACAACCGTTTCTTCCTATCTCAAAGCGATACACTTTGGGGAGCGCGATGTCGTTCGCTTTATTCAGTTCCTCCCTGAGACCACTTCTCATTGTCGCTTCTGCCTTCCGAGCTCTGCTTGAGGCAGATTGCTAAAAATGTTGGACGATGTCACGTCTTGTACTGAAGATATCGCAACATCGAGATCCATGGCTCAGCAATACTTCACAAAAAAATAAGTGCGTTTTATCTAACTTCTTTGGCCCCTTTGTTGCTTCAGCACGTCATAATTACTATTTTGTATCCACTTCATCCCGTCTCAGCTTAAAGTTCGTGACATCGGTAAATTTTCATGTCAGTGAGTCCTGAAATTTAGCTCAAAGATTTAGAAGATTAATGAAAATTTGAGCTGGTCATCTAAATACACGGCCGCATGTATGCGTGTGGACTCACCGCTTACATCTGGAGCGAAAAGAGTTCGATAGAGCCACTCCAAGAGCGTTCTCTCGGCTCACATGTAAGTGTATCGCCTGCGCCTGGATCTGCAGCAATCAAAGGAAATCCGTATCCTTCATGAGGAATGTACCTTGGACACTAGAACACTATTATCAAATTTAGAGCCCTCATTTGGCAAAATATCAAGCCGCATCACTTGTCCGAAATCTTTAGCGAAGTGGATATCCGCCAAAAGGGTCGTGTCATGATTTGTTTTGTGAACTCAAAAATACGATACGGGCGTTAGGTGACAACCCATCACTTAGCTGCTAACGGCCCTACTTTTTTTCATAAGACAGTCGAAACAACTCTCGATCAAGAGTCATAATCACCATAAGGTCGGTCGCTTCCACTATTAAATAGTGTACTACGATGGGCGACCCTGCTGCTGTTTCAAGGAAGTTCAAGACCAGGGATACTTTAGGTCGTAAGCGGTCACCGAACCAGGGCCACCTTGTAACTTCACCAGGAACTGGAAATGGTCTCGTATACCCGTCCACATCAAAGTGGGCCACATTTCTTGCTTATCCTGTAGCGCCAGCGGAGGTCGATCTTCCCGCGTGATGGTCACAGTAATCCCCCATAAATTTGGTGACACATCGAATCTCTTCAATACCACGGCTTACATTTGAGGCTGGATGATCCAGATCTCGGACTCGCATTCAAAGCTTGTCATCGCTCTGCCTAATTTGAGGTAAATTAGCGGTTCAGAGTAACATCGCTTTGGAACAGAGGGTAGCCCGTATAATGGACGATGTAGAGACGTTGCTCCTTCAACAACAGCGCTTTTCATCATGTCCGACTATCTTGAAAGAGCGGGATCTTGGCAAAGCTATAATGAGCCATCAGGGATCCTTAATATGTTCGCATTCTCTTTGGGGTAATCAGAGTATAGATATATCCCTTTCTTGCTACGACCGTAAACAGCCCAATGTAGCGCGATCACAACCTAGTCTAATACACCACAGACACTACGTGATGAGGTAGGTTAACTACGTTCAGTGAGCTTGTTTGCCGTAAAATTTATGCGTGTTTCCGCCTGCCGTAAACATCAACGTGTTGAGGTTGTTTATCCTGGCTCCAAGCCATACGTTGCGCTCCTGGCGCATGATTTTTAATCCCGTCAAAATGGGTCCCTCGATTTTGCTAAAAGGTGCAGCCAGAAAGATATCGGCAAGTCGATTTTGATCGAAAAAGTTTAGCGAAGCATATTCAGCGCAGAATCAAAGAGCGAGACCAACTCGCTTCTGTTCACTCCGCGAGCTTGATTTAATAGAGTCTAATTCTAACAAGAGTCTTAATATGCGGCGGCGGGTTGCAAATAAACGAGTATACGATATGCGAATACAAATACATCAACGAATACAAAGAGCGCATACTGCATCGATGTCTAAAGAAAAAAAATTAAGTACTTGACCAAGCGCGCAATCGCTACTTTAGGGATCTTTTCACAAGGCTTAAGTACATTCCGTGATGTAAAAGCAACTCGAACCTCTAGAAGCTAATCGTGAACAAATTTGAAAGACATTTCTCGCATCTATTGGTTGTAGATGCACGAGAGCGGTTGATTTTATGGGCCGTGATAACAGAGAGGCTATCTTGGTGCTTGCAGAGATAAGATTTGACTCGTAAAGTCTGCGCTAGCAAGTGCATAGAAGATAAGTTCGATACTGTCGCTTGGAAGCGGAGCCAAGATCCTCTCGAGGACGAAGTGCTAAACACTTTTCAAATTATATGTTGGTATATTTAAAACTGATGTAAGTCACTATAATGTACACGTTTTAAAAGGGTTCTGTTTGCTGCATTGCGTCAACGACTATTACCACCGTGTCAATCTTCTCGATTCTCATTCACCTGCTTGTTCCAAAACGTCTCAGGCATGTGCTTTTATATGTGCGGTACGTACACTAGCGAGACTGTTTTCGATAAAGATTTTCTTTCAATGTCCTCACTGATCATCGCGAATATCACGCCACGTTGTCGCTTGATATGTTCATTTGAGAACAACCATCACAGTGTATTCTAAAGCCTATCGCTACAATTTGTAGTTGTTGGTTGGCTGTGCAATAAGCCGGTCGTCACATCCTTAATTTCTAAGGCGCCGATGCTGATCAGCTTGATGCTGGTGTTTGGAACGTCATATGAAGTATGCAATACGTTTGGCCTTCAGGCATTATCATGCTGAAAAGTCGTCACTCGTGCCAGAACCGACTTGGTCCGATACAACGCCATGTATCTTCCACGTCGCGTGGTTGTCACTGCTAAATACTTAATGAAAAGGACATGGTTTTTTTGGGCTCATAAATTGGTTTCAGTTTTGCATGGATAGAGCATAGGGGAGTCTTCCATCGGGAAATCGACTGAAGTCTCAGTGAAGAACATTTGAGAGGGGGGAGAATGAAATTGAATTAATTTCGCGCATAACTCTTTTGTGCATTTAGTCATTGAGCTCACAGTAGGTCGCATTGTACTACTCGAGGTAAAATGTGCTTTACAAACTCGACCCGCCCTTCAAATTCCGCAGATACTGTATAAGAATGAGATAGTAATTTGATAGCTCCAATGTATTTTACAGAAGAGTTTGTACTAAATGACGAATTAATATATTTCCAGGAAATAGTATCATTTCCATCGTCATAAATCAGGCCTTTCTAGACTTATTTTCTGTGCCAACACAAGTGTCATTAAGCCTCTCGTGTAAGCAGCTAGGACAGTCTTACTTTCACTTCATCTCTGCTCGCGAGTCGTCACCTGTTGTCGAATATTCGAGAAGTCTCGGTTTTTGATCGACAGATCCTAATATTTTGATCACATCCACGTGTTCACAAAAGAAAACCCATATTCGAACTTAATAGGATAGTATCCAGCTCGCGTTTATTTGAGTTTTGGATCATAACGTCGTCATCATGCGGGTCTTCATCCTCGTTGCTGGTGTTTTTTCGGCAATCTGCGTCCATTGTGTGCGTACCCTATTCGTGCTTCACGCGTTTCCATTCCATCTTGATGTTAAAGGAGATTTAGACCAATTAATATTACTGTCATGTCGTCCAGTTCGCAGACTCAAATATGGATTCCGTGGCGAAAATTCGAGTGGCCGCTGACAATTCGTTTGCTGGTGGTGACATGAAAACTGCGATATCGCTACTTTCAAAACTTATCGAGCTTGAGCCTACGAATGAACGTAACTTTTACAAGCGCTTTCGTGCTTATTTGAGTGAACGCAAGTATTCGCATGCTCTGTCCGACCTGACGTCGTCACTGGACTTGAATCCCACGTACAAACAGGGAATTTTACAGCGTGGAAAGCTTCTATTAATGCTAGGACAGTGCAATGAAGCGACGAAAGATTTTCAGAATTTTGTTGCGTAAGTTGTGATTTGTTTCTGCGTCTTGAAATGTAAGGTTTATACTTAAAGTATATATGATAATTAGGCTCTATCCGGATCAAACAGAGGGATCTGAGCAGTTAAATAAGAGCCAGGAGTGTGCTGCACGAATTGACGAGGCGGAGCGTGCGCACAGCCGTGGTGACTATCAATCGGCATATAATTCCTTGACCCAAGTGCTAGAAGGCTCGGCGATTTCTAGTGTACCGCTGTTGTTGGAACGAGCTCAACTTAGTGTGTCATTAAACAATCCGTTCGACGCTATTGCAGATCTTGGTACCATTTTGAAGCTGGATTCGTCCAATTTGATTGCTTTGCAAATGCGTGGTGAAGTATTGTATTCGCTAGGGGACAAACGGTCATTAGAGGCGGCACAATCGCATTACCGACAGGGATTGCACTCAGATCCAGAACATCGAGGCATCAAGTCGCTGTATCGGCGCTTAAAAAAGGTGCTTAAGTATGTTTATCGAGCTGAAGATGCGGTGCAACGTGGAGCACATGCTGAAGCAGTAATTGAGTGGCAAGAGGCTGTCAAAGTGGATCCAGACCACTCTGCAATGAACAAGGAATTTTACTTGCAATTGTGTACGAGTGAACTCCATCTTAAGCAATACACCGCTGCTCAAACCGCGTGTGAAAAAGTTGTGACTATCGATGATGGATATGCGCTGGCTTTTGCCAAATTAAGCGAGGTACAACTGGCTCTTGAGCTGTATGAAGACGCCGTACGATCAGCAAAACATGCTTTAGAGTTGGAGGAGTCAAATCGCGAGTTTAAAGAAAAAGTGGCACAAGCAGAGGCAGCATTAAAGCAGAGCAAGACAAAGAACTACTACAAGATTCTTGGTGTCTCTCGTACTTCGGATTCTAAGGAGATCAAGAAAGGCTATCGTAAACAGGCTCTGGAGTGGCACCCGGATAAGCACACGGATAAGGACGAAGCAGAGAGGGAAGAAATTGAGAAGCGTTTTCACGATATTGCTGAAGCTTACGAAATTTTGTCAAATGACGAGACTCGTGGTATGTATGACCGCGGCGAGGACGTTACTGGCAACTCGCAGCAACAGCAACAGCGCGGAAATCCGTTCAGTAATGCACAATTTTTTCAGCAGGGCGGTCGCACCTTTCACTTCAATTTTGGAGGATAAGCACGTGCTGGCTGGATGTGCAAAGTGGATGAGGTTTGTGTGTTGAAACGATTCGGGATCAGTTAAGAAAATCAATACTTAGATTTGGTTGCCAAGTGTGTCTCTGTGAAGCACGAAATCTTTCTTGATCGTGACTAACTGGATAAAAATCATTTGTGTTAATAGTGGAATGCTTTGAATAGATCAACAGAAATTTAACGTGAGTTTAAAATGATATTGCTTAAAAAAAAGGTGAAAATTGCAACAATTTTGTGTAAACAGGAGAAGAGACAGACAATTTACTTAATTTACGACTGCATTAAAGTGAAATACTGCTGAGATATGTGTTTTGAGAGGTCGATGCGGGCCTATACTATTAACTTCATGAGTACTACTCTGTGACCGCATCACCATTGTATATTTCTATTACTATCATAATTAATGTCGTCCCTACTGTTCGAAAGCGACGACGAAGGCTTTATTGAGGTCTTGGCTCTACTCAACGAGTATAATGTGGCTATACAAGAATCAAACGGTCGATTTAAATGCACTTCACCCTTGACCTCATTAATTGAAAGCTCGACTTGGTCTGCATTTGAGACGGCGCATCCCATTCCGAAAACGACAAGCAAACATCGCAATGGTGCGCGCGAAATGCGCCGTCGAGAATTGCAATTTCTACGCACGTGTGTAAAAGGATTGGAAGCACAACTCTATGCGCTCAAAGAGGTTGCAGAACAGCGTGCACAGTCGAAAGATGGTACGGCTAACACTAGTACTCAAACGTCTGCATTAAGGAGTATATGGAAGGACTTGGCAGCGCGTCAATTGGACCAACGACTGACATCTGAGAGAGAAAATTCCCGACTAAAAAGTGTGATAGAAGACCAGAATAAGGTGCAAGAAATGCTACAGCGAGTGCTCAATACGAGGGTCGCACGAAGGGTATGCAAGGATCAGATTTTGGTTACAAGAAGTTTGTAAGTAAAAAGTAATGTTATTTGTAGGTATTGGAGACAACTTCACTGCAGGAAAAAAAGACGAGACGGGTGTATGGAATACCGTTGGAAATGGCGTATCAACTTTTTGACGAACTGGAGGTGGGAGTGGATCTCGTGTTTCACGAGGCAGCAAAGGTGTTCTTTCAAGCAGATACAGGAACTGGTAGGAATGTCGGAATATTTGGCGACAAGATACTGCCATTTTCATCTGACTTGACGGCCGAGACGGCGTGGAGGTGTTTGGCTCATGCGTATCATCATGAAAAAAATCATTGTTCATACAGTCGAGAAATGAAAAGAGCCGAATTGGAAAGTGTGACTCATGTTGACACAGTTCGCGAAAGCTTTGGGGTTGAAACTCAAACACCAGAACACATGGCAGAGTTTGAAATTCGGCAGGTTTTTTGTCGCTATCATGAAGCAAATCGAACTGTTATAGCGTGGAAATCGTTTATAGATCCGTCTGTGTTTCAGGGTCGACAGCTTGAAGGGTTTCGCTTTCAAGAAAAAGGTTCATGCGTAATTTGTCGCGAGCCAAAATTTTTAAATGGTACTTGCAGCAACGAATTCACGCTACTGCGTATCTGGCACGTTATCACTCCTGAAACTTTAGCTTACACCACAGGAATCAGCTCGAAGTATGTTCAGGAACTCACGGAATTTGTATTGGGCGGTTCATCGTCTGCTAGTACAATGCAAATGATTGAAAATATGTTGATTGAACAGTCGAAATGACGACGTGGTTTGTAAAGTAGAATACTTAAATCATAATGTTATTAGATGATCATGTATCGTTTGAGAAGCTGAACGTTCTCTTCAATTGCCACCATTTGCAGAGGCTAAGGTTCACTACAAATTGCCTGAAAACAATCTGGCCGACAGAAATTCAATTGCATTCCACAATAAACGCAGCAAAATCAGGGTAGTCAAATGCCATTTCAGATCTAAGTACACAATCGTAAGATTTTCACATTCTTCCATTTGTTTGGCTGTGCAAAGTTGAATCATATTATGCCAGTGATCTAATTGATGGCTGCCAGCTTTACACAATGGGGTTTAGTACCATGTAAACGTTTCCATTACTTATCAATTTAGCTTGCTCGAATTATATCACCCTTTGACTTCAGCATTGTAAAGTGTTTGGTACTTGAATTTCGCGCCCTATTGACGACAATTCTTCTATGCGGTGGTTAACGCGAACTTTAAGAGTTTTTTGCTTCCTCTGACAAGGAAACAAGACACGGTGAACAATTTTTTTTCACTTGTTGGTATCCTGGGGACAAAACCTTTAGTACCCAAGGTTTAAAAGCGGGTATTGCTCGCCTGGGGGCGCTTACTAGCTATGGGAATACATTGGCTAGACCTCTATATAAATTTGTCATCGAGCGACTTCCGCATTCACCAAGCATCCACTCGTTTAAAAGCACAAAAAAATTGAAACTTACCTTTGAGACAAGAGAGATGGATATGACAACGTGACGCACTGTTACTCAGTCTGGAGTAGTTATCATACTCCAGACTGAGTAACAGTGCGTCACGTGAGCGGTCTTTATGCTGGGAAGGAGGGTCGCGTGCATAAATGAACACTAACACAAGATAATCTATCAAATCGGGCATTTTGTCGCCATCGATTGTAATGAAGCATCTTTTACACCGCCCAATCAAGCTTACTCAGGAGAAAAGAAAATTGTTAGACTACGCCCAAGGTTTGAAAGCTATCATAGCTGAGTTGTTGGCTACTTTCTTAAGTACCCAGAGAAAGTGGAGGAGGTCGTATACGAATTTTGATCTGCAAGGAGACTGGGTGACGAAAGGTGGAGGATACGTCAACACGATATAGAATATGGTTTTCAGCTTGGATCATTAAATGAAATCGAACTTTTGAATACAGCAGCGTCGTGGCATTTGAAATTCAAGATTCTGTAAGAGCTCAAATTATCTACGCCCTGCGATCCCCCGCTTCTGATTGAGAGATTTAAGTGGTCATGCCTAAACACAGGGTTTGTCGATAGAGACCTCGCAAGAGATAATCATGCTGCGGCAGACGCAGTGCAGATTACTGTACATCGTGGATGTCGAGATATAGGGTTCATTTGCGATGTCCGATAGTTCCGGGGGCGTCGAGAAAGTGTATGCGGCAAACCATAATTAGAACAGTAAGAAATATGCGATCGCATTCCGTATACCAAGTACCGATACATTTTTGTGCGGCTTGCGACGAGGATACCCGTCAAAGTATCGAGGTATTTTAAAGTCTCTAAGCATAATGTCGAGTTTCTAGTAGCGCGAACAACTTCCAGTCAATCTTTGCTATGTGGCATTGGCTGGAACACTACTGGACAAGAACTGACTGGAAACTGAAGACAATACGTACCACGCAGTGAATTTTAGTGCGTCCTCTTCTTAAGCTACAAATTCTGGTAATCTAATTTACAGCATGTTTGACATACCATAATCATTGAATTCCCCACTGGCCTGTCTCGTTTATAAAATTACTGGCCTCGCTTACCGGCGCATGGATGGCAAATTGATCAAATTCTGCCTGACATGGTTAATCACGAAAGAGCAAATCTATCACATCAAGGGTTTAGTAAACTAAAAATTGCAAGCGAGCAGCCAAATTATTCCACTAGATATGATTATCAATGTCATCAAAATTCCTTGAGATATTCGACAGAGGTAAAGCTTGGGGTCCTGAGCAACAATGAGAGAGCAATGAAGTCTGTAAGCTGAAGACCCCAGATTTATACACCATTTCGACAGCCAAAGGCAGCCTTCAGCTGGTGCCTCTGAATTTTTACCCTGTTGAGACGAAAATATGCGGCCGTGTATTTAGATGACCAGCTCAAATTTTCATTAAACTTCTAAAATCTTTGAGCTAAATTTCAGGACTCACTGACAGGAAAAAAATTGGCCGATGATCACGAACTTTAAGCTGAGACGGGATGAAGTGGATACAAAATAGTAATTCTGACGTGCTGAAGCAACAAATGAAGCCAAACAAGTTTGATACAACGCACTTATTTTTTG